CCAATGCCTTCAGAGCATTAGCAGCACTGCGAGGCATTGGGTTGTGCTGCTGATTTTGTGTGTTTCTCCTTACCAAAAACATGGTGTCATCCCAGCAGACATGAGCCCTGGCTTGCTGAATCAAATCAGCCCCAACACCTCACATGGCAGGACCTTGCAGCAAAACAATCGAGCTGATAGATTTTTGTGCATTGACATCACAGATGGGAAAAAGTCTTACTAATCCTCCGAAGTTCCTTCCAGTGGATGACTTCATTGATGTCTCTGGATCAGTCCCAGCTGCTGCAAATGAGCAGAGAAAGACCAAAATTCAGCAATAACACAGGGGATTTGGGCAACAGCTCAGATGGCATCTCAGAGTCCAGGGGCATATACGAGCACTGAAAACAGCAAAAGGTATTTGGGGCTTTTCAAAAGCAATGGTAGAGAACAGTTTAGTTGACCTCTAAGTCAAATGTTTTGTGGCTTCAACACACAGAGAAATGCTGGCTTGGATCTCCCAGCCGTCAATGAACCTTGTTCCAGGTAATGACAACTCCTTTCAAAGTCTCTGTGTTTAGCACTAAGACTGTTTTAATCAATGATGTGGTCATTCATTGCACACTGATGTCAGGAGCTGTCACAGCACCTTGGGGACAAAGTACCCTTCTCTGAGTCCATCTACTCCTAAACAGGTTGAGCAATGTCTAACCCTGCTAATGGTGTCTCCCTTCTAAATCAGACCTGTGGGACAGTCCCATCAGCCCAAGTGACATTTTGTCCACTTGTATACCTCTTTATCACCCTGATCAGATTGCAACAATTTCTTACCTAATTCATTAGTTCAGACTTTGGCTACAGTGCAATACAAATGCTCTGATACTGCTTCTTAATGGCACCTGTATTGATCTGAACCTGCCTGAAGCCATTCTCATCACCCTCTCCATGGCTGGCACTCTGACCGTGCTGATGGCTCTTTTCCCTGCTTTCCTCAGAGCACAGAGTCCAGAATTACTGTCAGCTGTGCTACAAGTAAACATCACAGCACCCACACGTGGACAAATAACACTGATTAATGGTTTATTCAAATTGGCTGGCTTTAAGCTCCAGTAGGAGCATTGCAGTCCCCTAGTGGGGAGCCAGGGAGGAGGACAGTGGTTAGAGGTGGTGGTTTAGAGCAGCCCGTGCCTGTGATACTGCCTCCAGACATTTGCTGCAGGAGCTCTCTGCTGGGCATCCGAGTCAAGGCCAGGAACAATCCTGCTGAGGCACAGAGCTGCCCAGGATGTTTGGGAGTAACACAGAACAGTTCATGTAAAGCATGGAACTACTTACTATTTCTACCTTGTGTTGCTTTGTGGGATTTAACCCACTTAATCACCAGGCTAATTCCAGCTGAAACAGTGGGTGTCCTCACTGGCATGGTCAAAGCAGGACAGGGATGCCAGGCAGGAGGAGCTGCCTGCAGGCTGGAAGCAGCAATGCTCCCATCAGCAATGTCTCCAGGACTGTCCTGCTCAGCTGCAGAGGGGCACAGTGTTACTACTGATACTAGATTTATTACTACTTCTTACTCCTGGCAAGATGCAGTCACACTGCACACAGAAGTGGTTTTCCCATGGAAATAGAAGGGTTTGGGAAATAGCAGGCATTTTCTGCCCATTTACTGCAACACAAACTCCCCATCTGAGCCCTCTATGACAAATTAAACCGTCTGACTGTAACAACTTTCCCTCAGCTGGCTGGGGACTGAGTGCCATAACCTGCTTTGTCCCATAGGGAGCAGGCAAAAGTCTCCATCACCTGGCAATCATTAACTGCCCTGCTGAGCTGGGGAGGTGCAGGGAGAAGCTGTCCTGCTCTGCAAATACACTAATGGCTCAAGTGGAGATTAGCAGGAGTGTGTTACCAACCAACCTGTGCCAAGAGGTGACAGGGTACCAGGGACCCAGCGTGGTCTGACCAGCCTACACATCCCCTGCCTCTGGCTTTGCCACCACCAAGGTCACCACCACAGTGCAACCAGCATGACTTCTGAGGTTGTACTGGGATTGAAGGAGTTTGTGCTGGGAACTGGTGCCACAGGGTGGGAGGGAAGGCTGGGCTGCACAGCCGGTCCCTAGCACCTCAGCCCACAACAAGCATTAACTCAGCAGAGCAAATGTTTAACCAGCCTCCAGGGCCTCCCTGCAGCAGGAGGTGAAATGCCTGCCTTCCCCTAGGTGACTTGAGCAGAGCAAAGTTGTGCCTGCAGACTGGGAGCCTGACCTCTCTGGCAGTGATGCTGCCATCCCAACCCCTGCTGAGAGTGCAGATTTACTAAAGATGCAGGCAGAGCTGTTTGCCCTGTCTCTCACAGCAGCAGGCTCCTCAGCAGGCACACACTGTCACTGTCACTGCACTCGTATCAGTGGGCAGCACTGCACATCCAGGGAGGGCCAGGGTTGCTGATGGGAACTGGCTTGACACATCTGGGGCTTTTTAATACACAGGAGACATGTCCACACAGGAAAGCTCCTGGTGCCACTCTCTTTAGTAATTGGCTAAAGAGATGACAGCCAGCAGCCAACATCACTAACACAGTAACTCAGCAGCTAAAAGCCCATCTAATGAACAGCCCTGGTAACAAGAACCTGGCTGTGGGATCCTCCAGAACCATTTTCCTGTTCCCAGTACTCATTAATAACTGTACAGCCACCCACCAGTGACACTCCAGGTGCAGCATTATTTTCTCTTTACGTGCACATTGAATGAGAAAACCATGTCATTCCCCCAACGTCTCAAGGGATGAGCACTCTGTACCACACATGTCAGAGAGTTGTACCAGAGCTGCTCCAGAGCTATCCCAGAGCCATGCCAGAACTGCCTGGGTGTGCCAGCTGCTGACTCAGGGACACCCTGGGGTGATACCTCCAAAGGAGATCCCCCTGCAAAGCCCTGCAGCATTCCCAGCCACACGGGGCCATCCCGTGTACAGGAGATGGAATGGGTGATGCTGGAATGAGCTCCCTGTGTCACCTTCTCCTAGCTGTACAGGAGATGGAATGGGTAAAGGATGCTGGAATGAGCTCCCTGTGTCACCTTCTCCTAGGACATGAAGCCACTGCCTAAGACACACAGGGCAGCTGGTGAATGATGCAACTCCTTGTCTGCAGGAGCCACTCCAGATAAATCTCACTCAGCAATCAACCACCCTCACAAAGTAACCTTCAGGGAGCTACAGGGGCAGCACAAAGGCTTTTTGTTAATCTCAAAGACACAGGAGCACAGGGGGAGATTGCTTACTAATTTAGATAGCAAAGAGAACTGTTCTGCAAGGAGCTCCCAGATAAAGAGCTTTGCCGTGAAAAGTCCCTTGGCTCAGGACAGCACCCCACAAACTCCCTTCCTCTCTGCAGGAGAGGAGCCCAGCTGTGCAGCTGGTCAGGCACCAGGGCGCATCAGAAATATATCCAGGAAATTTAGCTGGCCTTTTTCTGATTTTACTCAGTTAAAAGCAGATGTTGATGGATCATGGCCCTTTTCCACTCCCACTTCCACCAGCCATAACCACACTTCCTTGGGAGCTCACAACAGGTTTAGATCAATGCTCTTTTCCCCCTTTGACACATCTCCAGTGAACTCACAGACCTGAAACTTGTTCAGAGGTGACCCAAGGGGAAGAGCACAGATGTGTATCCATTTCCTTTTCCATTCAAATTGAGCCAAATGATGTTTTTGAAGTGTGCAATGAGCAGCCAGGCCATGGGACAATGCATGATGTGAGGGGAGTCTGCTGGGCCACGAAAATCTTGTGGGGCACACATGGGGTGTGAGGTCACAGCTTGAGCATAAAAACTGCACAACCTCCCTATTTAAAGGCCTGTCCTTTGCCACAGCCTTGGTTTAGGTGCAAAAGCTGTGTGGGGTCTTCCAAACCCTGCCTGTGAGTAATCCATAGCTGGACAGGTCAAACTGACTGCACTCACAGGCACACAGACACACCACACACTTGGAGTGAGGACCAGCCTGCCTCTCCTCTCCTACATCTGAGGCCCCATGTCAATAAAACTGAGCAGCTCCTGGTCAGGAGGTTAAAAATAATAATGATGTTTTTTAGTCTCTGGTAGCAAAGGACCGGCAACTTCTCCTATGTTCCATTTCCTGTGATACAGCAATACCTGTGCAGTCTTTTCTCATTTCTCTCTTGTCTTTTCTTCCAGAAAGAATATTCCCTTCAGTCCAAGGGCCTGAGTGGAAGCAAGAAGCCAGGGAGTGGCAGTTCAGGTGAGTGCCAGCAGCCCGTGCTGGCCCTTAAACAGCTTTGGAGGCAAACTGGGAGGAGCTGGGGCTTCGGCTCACACCTGGTGCTGCTGAGCCCTTGGCTGGGATGGGGAAAATGTTGGGATGTGGAGAGGTGCAAACTGTGGAAAGGTGCAACTAAGTGAAAGAGCACCCCTGTGTCGGTGAGAACTTGGCTTCTTTCTCCAGTCCTTCACGAGGCCAGGAGTGTCAGGGCAGGACATGGCCAGGAGTGTCAGACCAGGACATGGCCTGGACAATGCACCCTTGGGTGCCGCAGAGTGTGAAGGTGACTGTAAACCCCAGTGGTGGCCCCCAGCTTTTCCCATCCCCTTCTCTGTGTGGAAATGGTTTTGCTTCATCCCTGACCCTCCTGGGCCTGGGACACTGAGCACCTGCAGGCTGGCACTGGGCAGAACTGGACCACAGAACCCACTGAAGAGCCAAAAGGAGTTGCTGGAGTGGTTTAACCCCTTCTTCTCCCCCAATTTTGCAGCCTTTGGTTTTCCAGGCTGTGGCAGTTCAGGGACAGCCAACATGACACCTTCCAGCCACGGTGCCGCTGGGGACAAGAAGCCCAGCTCAGGCAGGGGCTGCACCCAGCAGCAGCAGCAGACCTGGGGCAGCGATGCTGTGGCACCACACAAGCTCTGATGCCACCAGGACCCCGAGCAGGGGCTGCCTCTCCCTCTCGCAGCCCTCACCCCTGGGCCGTGCGGCACTCGGGGATGGCAGGGTGTTGCAACATGCCAGGGAATAATCACGATAGCTTCGAGCGGTTGCCCTGGTGCCGGCTTGGCTGTTGCAGTGGTTGCTAAAGAGAGTGGGCGTGCGGCTTCCTCTGGGGCGATCTGATTTCTCCAGGAGCGTGGTTAAGGCACGCTGAGGAGGAATCGTCCTCCGTGGAGCAGGGACGCGACCTCTCCTGCAGCAGCGGCGGCTGTGCCGAGCAGGCAGCTCGGGTGCCCGGGCACGCACAGAGCTGTTCGCTGAGGGGCAGAAAAGCGATCGGCGCCTTCATCTGTCCTGGGAAAACACCACCAGCAAAGAGCCGAGGCAAGAAGTTTTCAGGGCGGCGGAGGGAGCAGCACCGAAGGCCAGCGGCGGCTGGCGGGCCGAGCCGCGGCGCTCCGTGAGGGCCCGCTGGGGTGGCAGGAGCGGCAGGGAGGGACGGCCGCCACCTGCACGTGACCTGCCGTCCCTGTGGCACCGCACGGAGCGGGCAGGAGCCGGGCGCCTTCCTCCGAGCGGCCAAAAGTCTGCCGGGCGCCGGGGCGGGCAGCGGCCCCATGTCGTGGGGCGCAGGGCAGCAGCTGCCCGCCGGGCTCCCCCGGGCCTCGCTGCGGAAATCAGGTAAGCGCAGGGCCCCGCTGCCCCCGGGCCCCGCTTCTCCGGTGCTCCCTGCTGCGGGCGGGCTGCCTCATCCCCTGGGATTGCGCTGCGCTCTGTACACAGGTGACTTGGGACCCGGGTTTAATTTTTTTTTGAGCTGTCATGCTACTTTAATACTTCTGTAGCTGGTTGAGGAGCTGTCCTTCTGCTTCTGCCTTTCCATATCTCACAAGAAGTTCCCTTAGAATGCCCATCCTGCAATGCAAACTTCTTGGAGAGGCACTGGGCTGGATGGGGACTAACGCAATCCCTACCGATCAACATGGGAGGACATTTTCTGTATTTAACAAAATACCTTTGAACTAACTTTAAGCATTCATTACTGATTGATGTGCATCTCTGTCATTGGCAGGCAAATGTGCAGAGCAAATATTTGGTGAGATATTAAAACTAAGTTTATGATTGTCAAGAGGGACTGCTAAGCATCTGCCACTGTCAAACAAAACTAAACCAGTGCTCCACATGCTGCTTGTAAAAGGCATGGGACGTCTTGGTGATTGCTAACAGACTAGGATCTCAGCCTTGCTATCTTTGCTTATCACAGTCCAAGGTAATTAAATGAAATTATTAACCAGCACACCCAGTCCTGTCTGCCAGCAGGGAGGCACTTGCTGCTGCCTGATGATGCAAGCATTTCCTACTGGTAACTTCTACATGCCAGACAGCTCAGCAAGCCTCAGACCTGGTGGCATTTCTCTCTTCTAAATCCATGTGCATGAATGCTCAGCAGATGCCCATGGTGACATCCAGAGTCCTTTGCCTTCGGGGTGACGGCAGGTGACAAGGCGTGAGCAGCCGGGGCTGAGCCCAGCACTGCTCTGTGCTCCCTTAGGCAGGTGCAGTGCTGGTGCCATGGGACACCCAGCCCTGGGGCTCAGCAAGGGCGAGCAGGACTGGGGACGAACTGGGGACACTGGCTACACCAGTGGGAGCGCACTGGCTGTACTGGAGGGGAGCACTGGCTTACGGGTGAGCAGCCCCATCCCCAGCGTGTGCTCAGCAGAGACAGAGGTAGGAACAGTGGAGACACGTGGCAGCAGTGCTGGGAGCTGCAGAGATGTGTCCTCCTGTTTTACATTTCCATTAGGGTTTTCTCTGCGTCTGTGACCTTGTGACCCCGTGGGGTTTATTTCTGACCGTCAGGGCTGAGTGAAGGCGAGGGGACCTGGAGTGTGAGTGCCTGCTGCCCTCAGGCAGCCACTTGATAGCTGGGAACTGCTTCCCACAGCAGCCACATCGAGTTATGCTCACCCTATTGCATTATAAATACCAGAATTAGCCTTGCTTAATTATTTAAAACTATAGATTAAAAGCAGACAAAGGCTCTTTGACTCCTTCCCAGAGCACACCTATCATTTTTCAGAGGTACGGTCGCCTGGTGACAAGCACAGGGGAGCGTGCCAGCTCTGTCGGTATGAGGTGCTCCCGAGCTGCTGGCACAGCTGGAGCCAGAGGAGGGGAAAATCACAGTGAGGGTGGGAGCTGGTGCCATCTCACCCAGGGAGGGTAATGTTTAACATCTGCCAATCTTTGGGCTCACATTATTACTATTATTATCATTATTAACGTCACCATCATCCATCTCCAGGGCAGTAAGCCACAGCAGTCATTAGGCTAATGTGAATTACAGGTATTTTGTTCCAGGTTGTTGTAACAGCAGCACACGGATTACTGGGGTGATGAGGCACATTTTGTGAGCTCAGCTGTGGGGACTCACCCACCACAGGGTGTCCAGGCACTGCGAGCCACCCCATCAAGCAGCCCCCACATCCAGGTCCCTCCCCCTGCCCTGAACCCACCAACCATGCAAAGGGGGCTTCCTAAAGCAAGTGCCCAACTTGGAGGTCAAATGTCCTGTCCTCCTGGCAGATGATCCTCTGAAGAGCTGCTGTCATCAGACAAAGCTTTGGGGCTTTCAGACACTGACATGGAATTCTTTCCCATTTTGCCAACCCCAGCTATCCCATATTTCTAAAATACAGTTAATTAACACTAGAAAAACCATGCAAATTAGCAAGTGCCATCAATTGAAGAATCCAAAACCAATGACAAACTTTAAGCTTTATCCTTTGTAGGACTTAACATATAGCATGACCTTTTCTGCCATTACTCTCTCACAAGAAAGCTGTAGAGCCAAACTCTAGCTGTACTTCAGACACTGGAAATGCATTGACAGAAAGTTCATACTCTAAAAATTTTTTAAAAAAACAACTTAAGTCCTGGTTAACAGAGAAGCATTCAAGAGCTTAAAAGTAACAGAGGCTGGTTTAAAGATCCCACATCTCCACCTGCAGCTGTACTTCAGACACTGGAAATGCGTTGACAGAAAGTTCATACTTTAAAATGAAGGAAAAAACCTTAAGTTCTGGTTAACAGAGAAGCATGCAAGAGCTTAAAAGTAACAGAGGCTGGTTTAAAGATCCCACACATCTCCACCTGCACATGCAGACTCTTGTGGGGAGTGAGGACAGGCCCTGCTCCTCTCAGCATTCCCAAGAGGGATGTGATATGGTACTCTCACTGTGAGGAAAGGAGGGTTCCTCAGGCACTGGATGTTGTTGGGGTCTGAGACCCAGAAAAGGGATTGTTTCCCCCCATAATTGTAGTTAAAAGTGTTAGAAACCCGCATTACCCCCCAGGCCCAGGTTACTTGTGTAAATAGCTTTAAACTCTCTCTGCTGGCCCACACTGTGTGTTGGTTTTGCAGCTGCCTGACTTGCAGGACGTGTATGACCAGCTGCTGTCAGCAGCCCTTCATTAATCTCTTGGTTCTTTAAAAAAGACTCATTCATTAATAAATCGTGGGCATCCAGAAAACCAGAGGTTCTTCCCTGTAACCAGAGTTGTAAGTGATCATTTCTGCTCAGGAAGTGGTCTCTTGGATCAGTGGTTTTACAAACCCAGATCCAGGGCTGTGACCCTGGACATCCTGAGATTTTTGCCCAGCCTTATCCCTTCTACCAAGTAATAGGGTCTCACAAAGCTACAGACAGTAATATCCTCTGAGTACAGATCCCATTCCCAAAATAATACCTTCTGACTGTTTTTACATGAGTGGCATTACACAAAGGCCCATTATCTGCCCAGAAATGGATGCCAGTACAATATTTTTAACAAAAGTAGTTTGTTCATCATCTGGCCCTATTGACAAAACTCATCTGAGATGCTTTAGTTCAGTTCTCAAATGACACAGACAGCAGAAATAAAACACTGTGAACTACATTTGCTTTCTAGATTTCAGCTAAAGTTGAACACTGGCCTGTGGTGCAGAAGGCAGCACTGACAGCTTTGCAGTTTAAGGATGCAGGTGGCATGGGAAAGGGCTGAGGGATGTGCAGGGGAAAAACAAGATGTCACAGGGGGCAGGATGTCAGGAGACCTTGGCAAAACACAAGTCAGGCATTTCACATAGAAACCTGCAAAAAGCAGCTGCTGTCCTGTACAGGTGCAGGTTGACAGGTGTGGGCAGGACCCCAGTCCTGCACTCTACAGCTTTCTAAATCCAACAGCTATGGATTAACTCCATTTCCAGCCTGTTTAGTTTTTCCCTTGTAAAGAGCAGCTGTAGCCATGTAGGCAGCCTAAGCAGAGCTGCATCCCTCAGGTTACCTGCCCTTTCCAGGACTGTTAATCCCTTTAACATTCCTGGGGATTATTTCCATCCCACAGGAAGGGTAGCACAGGCTGCCAGCAGCAGTGCACAGTCCTGACATGGAGGGGCTCACACGGCAATCCACCACCAGGAGACAAATTGCTTAATCCTAAATAAATGTTCTGTGAAGGGCATCTCCTCCTTGTGAGGGAAAACCAAAAAGCAGCAGCAGCCAAAGGAAGCATAGCCCAGCTCCAGCTGAGACAAACCTTCGTGTCCAATGCCTGTCCTTGAGCATGAGCCAGTCCTCTCCCTCCTCATCTTCTTCCTCTTCTCCAGGAGCAGGTTAAAACATCTCTCCTTGTTCTGGGGGCTGCACAAAAGCCACTCAGCACCTCAAGCAGCACACCCTGTTTTACACTCTTAGTAGAGCATATTTAATATAAATTTGCAGCATTCATGCTTTCAAAAGTATTTAGTGCTGCACCAAAGCTGCCTGATATTCTGTTTCCCATAAAGATTGCAGATGAGCATAATCAGAAGTGGAAACAATTTGTCCCAGGATTGCAGAGTGATGATTTTATTGCAACTCTCCCAGGAACTGGGGGATTTATAAGTATTTCCAGGTGGTCTGAGCAGGAATTTGGGCTTTGCTTTAGGTCAGAACAGAACAAGATATTAAATAATCACTTTGCTTCTCCAGTCCCACACCCTGGGGCAGGAGGGTGTCTGGTCTCTGGGCAACCTCAAAGATGCTGAAAATTCCCTGTGTGGTCTCCTAGAAAACTAACAGACTGGAGGCTCATTTCACAGTATGGCTGAGAGAGGAGATAACTCCATGTGTGATGTCCAAGTACCTGCAGGAGCCCTGGCATCCTCATCCTGGCAGTCTTGCTTTTTACTAACAGAAAAGCAGCTGGAAACACACATTCCCTAGAAAGCTTTGAGCTTCTAGAAATGAAGAAAGGGAAAATACCTAAAAGCAAGCAAAAGCCTGAGTTGTGGAAGCAAACAGAGTTACTTTTTTATAAGCAACACTCCAAAGCAGACCTATTTAAAAGATCACATTGTCTTCCTCAGTGCAGCAGGGGGTCTTAACATCCACATGTATTTTTTTTGTTTGTGTCTTGCAAAGAACAAAATAAAAATGTCCAACACCTTTTGCTGATTTATGATGGTGGCCAGGGAGGTGCCAGGGCAGAGCCTTGTTCATTGATCTGCGGCTGAATCATGCAAAAACAGACATCCTGCTGTAAATCCACTGCAGAGACCTGGCTTGATTTACACCTCCAGCACCATAAATAATGACAAAAAGCAGCCTGATAGCACTCTGTCTCTGTTACATGGACATGCATTACCTCAGGTCTCGGAGATGATAGATCTACTCCCTGACAAACATTTTGCACTGGGTCCTATTTGCCAACCTGCAGGAGAAAGGATGCCCCATCCTTACCTAACCCCAAGCTGTGCTCCAGACACGCCAGTATTTTTATATTCTCATTTTCTTTTTCTGCTCAGTGTAAATGAAGACATTCCTTGAATTGTTCCAGGCTGAGGGCTTCTGAAGGTTTGAAGTGCTATTCTTGTAGAGAGGTTCAAGGCTCCTTCCAGTCCCAGTCAGGGCTTTGACTTTGTCCCCGGGGCAGCAGTACAGACACCCACGGGAAGCCAAACCCTCGAGGTGGGTTTCTGCACACCCCTAGGCACATCTAGTGCCATGAAAACCAAGCACAGAGGTACCTGCTGTGTCCTGGCCCCCGCAGTTTATTGGGGCAAATTGCACTCCTCATGAGGACTTTCACATGCTGGTTTAACAGAACCAGCCCAGAAAAGCTTCCAGTCCATTTCAGTTCCTCCCACTCCTTCTTTCCCAGTTTTTTTCGTAATTTGTACTAGTTTAAAGGAAAAGTTCCCTATCTGCCTTCAGGAATAGGTTGATAAATGGCTGTTTCTTTGTAAGCCTCAGTCATGCAATGTTAGATTGCTGCAATCTGGAAATAATTACATTAGCCCATCCAAAAACTCCAGGCTCACCATGGTGCTCCCTCAAAATACCACACAGACTGTGGATGTGGGGAAAGCAAACCTGCCCAAGCAAATCTCCCAGGATCTGGGTCTTGGGGTAGGGAAGAAGGGACTCCCAGTCCTGAGCTGCAAAAGGAAAACCATACATCATGGAGGCAGGGGAAAAGAGTATTTAATAAAGAGCAGTGCTGCACCAGTGCCCCAAGAGCTTAGCAACAGAACCCAAGAGCTAATTGGTCCAGAGAAAAATACCAAAGTCACTTGAGTTTCAGCCATTTACACACTCAGGTTGGTCCTTCAGGCTTGGTTGGCTGCATAATCCTTCCACACTCTCTTCTCATGGCATTATCCCGTAGCAGAGCACGTCAGGTGGATTTAAGATAGACAAATCCAAGATGGACATGTCCCAGCCCTTCTCCTGACATGCATCAGGATTTGGAACCAACACACAAGCAACTGTGGGCACCTGTGTCATTGCAGGCAGCCCTGGACTACACAGGAACAGCAGGAAAGGGCAGTGGGATGACACGGTGACATTGAGCCTAGTCTATTAGCACAGCTTTCAAAAACTCTGTTTCCATTAAAAACACCTGACATTTTATTGAAGTTACTCCGTGGAGAGACCTTTTTGTTTGAAAAATGAAGACAGAGCTTTGCCATTTGAAATAGGAGTTTAACTACTTCATTCATGCCAAAACAAACCTTTGGTTTTGTACCTTCCTTCCTTGTCTTTTCTCTGCCTCTTCTGTGAAGAAAGAAAAAAAAAAAAAGAGATAAATACAAGGAAAAAAATGAAGCCATTTTACCCCACTGAAAATCTGATATGTTTTCTCATTGTTGCAAACCTGGCTTTCATCTAACAAAAATTAGCCATGAAATTGCACTGCCTTAACCCTTGGCTGTTCTTCAGTCCCTGCATCTCCCTGGAAGGCAAGGCTGAGCTCCCAGTTTCAGCCTGGGGAGTCCAGCCCTGCAAGGGTTTGAGTCAGCCTGGCACTTGCCAGCAAACATCAAACCACACCACCTTCCCTTCTGCCAGCAGTGATGTGTGATCCTAGGGGAAAATAATGTGATACAAAAAATCACTGGTTGCAGCTTCCAAGCACCCTCTAAATATGTACCGAACTATTCACCCCAATTACACTCCTGTAATGGGCTCTGATTTGTTTTCCTTTGTTCCAAAGCAGTAGGGCACTGGCCACATTAACATTCAATGAGAAGTTGTTTGATATTGAATCTTTTCTTCAGCAGTATTATTCCTTACACAATTTTGTTTGATTGCAATCCACTTCACATTTTTAAGTGCTTACTGACTGTGAAAGAATGACCTAGCCTGCTTTCTCTTGGCTTTTTTTTATTGATTTCTCTTTTAAAAAGGTTGTATTCCTTTTATACATGAGATTGAAATAAGAGAAAGAGGCAACATTACTGAACAACTGTTTTTCTTCCAGCTCCATCAACCCATATAACTTCACAGTAGGCCTCAAAAAATACTGTAATAATGAGACACTTAAAGACATGAAGCTGCCTACACCCTTTTCCTGGGACTTTTTTGGTTCTTACTGGTAAACTTCCAAATTGTTCAAGTGAATAGTCAGGAATAAATTGCTCTTTCTGAGCACCTGATTAGACCATACACTGAGTAATTGGAGGCAGACCTACTGTGCTCCTCATTTAAAGACACAGCCCACCACATGCAGTTTGTCTTATAACTTGTGCTTTGCACTCACTTTTTGTAGGAGTTTTTTGTAAAGAGAAAATGTAAAGGAATTGAAAAACACCAGCAGCGAGCATGCCCTGTGATTTGCCTGAAATCCAAGCTGCCATTCCTTCCAAAACAGTGGGCTCTTGTTCTTACATCCAGAACATACAAATTATTGCAGCATGATCACAGACTGCATGGGCGAAGGATGCTTTTCTTGGCCCTGGACTCAATCCTGATGAATAGGTCAGCAGGGTATCAGTAAAATCTTTCCTTGACAAGAGGTTTCAGATACAGCAGGACTTCCTCAGGCCAGTGTTTCAGAAGCCCCTTAAATCCCACAGCATCCACTTGTGCTATGGGACCAACAGCCTCATCCAGAACGCCCAAAGCAGCAGCTCAACACAGTCTACACCCATGGCTGCTTCCAGTTTTAGTTAGATCTATCTTGATTTAATTAATCCTTGGCACTAAATTCTGCAGCCACTGAAGTGAGTGGCTGGCAAGTAATTTAAGTGATCTAATTAATATGTGTCTCATCAACAACTCAAAGGGAGTGTATTTTAAAACCTCTAAAAATCCCACACTAGCACATGAAGGCACGTGCACTCTGACACTGACATGGTGTCCAGCAGCCAGGACAAGCACCAGCTTCTCTCCTCAGCCTTTCCTGGGGTTCTCACACCAAGCAGGGTGAGACTTCTCAGGCAAACACCTCATTTTTTCTTCCAGCATCGATGTACACGGAAATACAGCGGGAGCGACCAGATGGTGGGAATATCCTGACTCACCCAGACTACATAGATGGAAACCCAGACCTCATCAAACCTAAAAAGCTCCTAAATCCTGTAAAAGCCTCAAAGAGCCATCAAGAGCTGCATAGAGAGCTGCTGATGAACCACAAAAGGTAAGGGGAGGTTGCAGCCTGCCACTGGAGCAGCCCAAGAGGTGCTGAGCTGTCAGAGCTCAGGAGCTGAGGCACAGGTGCCAGTGACAGACTGCAAGCTGGAACAGCAGGATAAATTCCCTCACTTGCAAACACAGTATCCTGTCCTCTTTGGCTGTGTCCTTTCCTCTTTTCTCTGAGGTGACCGTTTCTTTTACAAAAATAGAGCAAAAAGCTCTGCCATCCTGAAGCACTGGCTGGCACTTTTTAGACTCACAAGCACTGGAAGATACAAGGCATCCCTACAGCCCCTTTTTGGTGTCCCTTGGAGGTTTTCTGGTTTTTCTGTCTCCATCACTGATCTGCCAAGTCCCCAGCAATGCACAGCATGTCTGTGCACTTGAAGGTCAATCCAAAGGCAGGAAGAGGTGCCGGCTGGATGCAGCCAGTGAAAGCTGAGCTAGCAGTGGGGTGAGATCATCTGCACAAGGCTACTCACCAACTCCCTAAATATCAAATGGTAAAGACAGGCTAGAATTCCTATTCCTGACTTCCTACCCCATCACCCCAATTTAACTCTCTGGGGGTACAGATACAACATCAGGAAAACCATACCAATGATCAAGAACCTACAACTGCATCATTCCATTGTGGCAACTGTCTGAACATCAGTGCAATAAAATCATATTCGGCTCAGAGGCTTTTAAGCACAGCAAAAAATCTGCTGGCTTTTTATTGACATTTTCTGAACACCCTGAAATACCCTGACACAAAAGCTCTTTGGCTGCCTAATGAAAAGGAACACAGCCTCTGTTCTAAAGGACTGCAGTCATCACAAGAACCAGACACGTATATTAATTCAGTGAACAATCAAGCCTGCCAGCAGGGTGTATTAATCAATACTGGCACTGGCTGGGCTTGGGTTTGATTTGATTTTCCCAGAATCAGAAGTATTACAGGGACATTTCTCTGGCATCAAGGCAGCTGTCACTATACTAGCCAGATATTTTTTAAAGTCTCTGGCGTGAGAGTGACCATCTCCTCTCTAGTGATACTGTCCAGTTCAAAGGGTCACCTACCAGCACTGCCTTTGATCTCACAGAACATTATTCCAATCTAACCATGATGGAGCAAAGGAACAAGGAACCCCTACAATGGAAACAGCAGAGAGGAATGGCAGAGAAGGAGGTGCAGACCCTGCAGCACCAGATCACACTGGCAAACACAAAGTACATCACCTCTTTGTGTTCCAGTTCTGTGCCTGCCACCGTGTCACATCCACGTGTGCCACCAGGTGCTGGCAGGAGGCAGCTCCAGCACAGGCACCCTGCACCACCTACTCGTGTTGCCCCTCTCAAGCATCAGTTTAAAGCTGTTTTGGCTCTGACCTCCCAAGTATTTTTCAGCAAATATGTGAAACAAACCCTACTGCAAAAAGTAATCTGTTGTCGCTGGTTTCTTGTCACTCTCAAATCTACCAGTTTTGCTTCCTGTTAAATATTATCATTGAGGGAGAGAGGGGAGAAGGGGAGAGAGAAGGAATTATGACTTGCTCCTGTTTCTGCTTTGGTTGGTTTTTCCCCCTCAAGCAGCAGGGAGAAGCAACTGAAATCAGCAGCTTGTGTAACAAAATCCTTATCTTACTCAACACCTCTGGGCACTAACACAGGCTGATTAAATCAAAGAATAGTAACAAATCTACAGGCAACATTGCAAGCTGTGTCTCCAGCAAGCCAAAGCAGGTCTTCCTGCTCTCAAGCCTTGGGAAAAGCAATTTTGCAGCATCCAAGTTGTTCCTGCTTCAAAAACCACAATGAAAGCTCTGGGGCCAAGGCTAAGGCTGCCTTCACTGATGTTGCTGTGAACTTTGTCCTGTCATTAAGCAAAACAAAATAAATTACAATAGGAAGTATAATTAAAAGTGGTACTGGGAGGATGCAAGCACTGAGCCCCAGCCGTGCTGTGACAGTGAGAGGTTTGCTGCACCTGGAGAGGGTGATTCCTCTCTCCTGCCTGCCAGTTCAGCTTCTCATGATGTCAGGTACCACCTCAGCACCTGCTGCCCTGCCAAGAAATCCACAGCCCACAGGGTTTGGTGCCTCTACTTTCAAACAGCCTTGGCCAAAACCAACCAGCCTTTGGCACAGGCATGGGGAGATCCCCTCCTCTCTCAACACAGACCTGCACCCACAGGAAAACCAAACACCACCCATAACTACTTCAGGTATGGCAATATCCAAAGTATGAGGTTTCTGAAATTTGTTCAGGGAACACCTTCTATCTCTTTGCTACACATTTATGCCTTGCCTGCATGGCCCTGCTGTGTCTCCTTTTCTGTGATCCCACCCCTCACAGAACAGGGATGCATCAAGTAGCCAAAGGGGACTCGGGCACCTGTGCCATCAGCAAATCCTCCGGCTTCCAGGAGAAAAGGACAGTTCATTTTGGCCCCTTGATCCACAACTATCCATGTCAGCAGGGGGATCGCCGGCCCTCAGCTCCGGAGCAAAGCTTCAGATGAAGCAAAGCTTCAGATGGGATGCGCGGGGAGGAAGGAGCTGCCAGGACAATTACTGCAGCCCAATGACTACCCCTGCTGGTGGGAAAAAAATCGTCATTATTGCACATGTTCTCAACGCCGCTGAATCTACACATGACACGCTAAACCAGGAGCAGCAGGAGCCTACGGAAGGTCCCTTTTCCACACCCGACACAGAGAGCTGTGGTACCCCGGTGCAATGGGATCAGTAGAACTTCCAGCACCAAATGTGCCATACACGAACTGCAACATTTGTTCATCCCAAGCAAGCAGGCCAAGGCACCATCAAACACCCTCAGACCTTGTGGATGGATTTGTGGGTCAGGGCTGGTTCATGGATCTTTCACGGATCTCATGGAACACAGGTCTCCCGTGCTTCCATTTAGGACCAAGACAAGTTTTGGGGTTGCCAGGCTGGCAGTGGTTACACCCCAGGTGTAGGTGCTCTGGCCCTCATTTATCTGCTTTTTATCCACAGAGGTTTGGGCGTGGACAGCAAGCCAGAGCTGCAGCGAGTGCTCGAGCACCGACGGCGAGACCTGCTCATCAAACAGAAGAAGGAAGAGGAAGAAGCAAAGAAATTGCAGTCTCCTTTTGAAAAAGAGCTATTAAAGAGGCACCAGAGGCTGGATCAGGTAGAACTGAGCTTTCAGCCATCCTTGGGTTAACCCAATCACCTGACACAAGGCACAGGGGAGATGGCTGGGCAGAGGCTCAACCCAAGGTGTAGCACTGCTACCCCTCTATAGAACAGGAGCCAAAGTACATCTTCCACTGCTGCCCCACAGAGCTGCAGCTCTCTCATCCTCACACTGGGATCCACCACTTTTATACCACTTCACCCATTACACACCACTTGCCATGGGTCTCCTCTGGGTCCCACACAGTGTCCTTGGGGTTTTTTCAAGTTTAAAGCACCCTAAACTCCATTGGGGGGCAATAATAAACTGCTTTGAGCAATAATAACTGGACCCAGCAATAGTGAAGCCGTGTATTTTAATGTAGCTGATGCCCTTTTGTCCTCTCATGTGCACAAAGAATTCTTTCTTACAGCTGGAGAAGGAGCAGGAGAAGCAGGAAGACCATGCACCAGAATTCATAAAAGTCAAGGAAAACCTGAGAAGAACATCAACGGTGACAGGGGACGAGAAAGCAGCATAGCTTCTGCCAAAACCCAACAAGATCCTGCCAAGGCCAACACCCCCACTGAAATCTCTGTACAGGGTGAACATTCCCAGCCACACCATTGGGGCTACTTGCAGTTATTAACACTTGCTCCAGTAGAAGGCACAGAAAAGGTTTTCCCAGACCAGGAGGGAATCACTGTGGGAAAAGTGCAGTATTTACCAAAGTACTCACACAAGTGGATGCAGAGAGAATGGTGTTATTTTCCCCCCAGACTGTGGGTGCACACTAACCACCAGCTAACTCTTGCTTAACTCTAGAAACACAGTGAATATTTCAAACAGGGAGGTCTGTGTAGGAACAGCCAGGGGGACTCCTGCTTCTCTGTGGAAGCAGGTTTGCCAGGCACAAGGGGACAAGAGGGCAGCTGCAGCTCTGGAGAGCCTCCTAGAAACCTGGTAACTAAAAGGGACAATCTGTGTATTACTGAGAACAGCCCAAGTGACCATAATGGCTTTCCCAAGAGTCACTGGCTTTGCATCAGTGTGCCAGTCAAGTGTGGCTGAGGCTGTGTGTCTCACCTGCTCTATCAGAAATACCAACCTCTGTGTGCCCTTACCAGAGCAGCACAGGCAGGTGCAGCTATACTTCACAAGCAGCTTTAAACAGCATTTCAGCCATTTCAAAGTGGCTTTTTAGGCAGAAAATACATTGGGCTGCTCCATCAACTCCCCAGGTGGAAGGCAAATGCTCTGTGCAGAAGGCAAAGGCTGGGTGTTCCCAGCATGGGTGTCCATGGAAGTGTGCAGTGACCAGGCAGCAGATCCCTGTGGATGCAGCAGACAGACAGACAGACAAACAGCGTCTTGCCCCTGCACTACTGACCTTCATCCCCTCTCCCAGCAGCTGGACATGTGCTACCATAGGGCCACCAGAAATGCCCTGGGATGGAGAGGGGGTGATGTGGTCATGTCCCACTGGTGCCAGGCTGTCCCGTTAACCACCCTGCATGCAGCTGGTACCTGTGGGCACCAGGGGGTACAGGGCACGTAGGTCCTGGTGCAAAACTACTTGTCAGTGCTCCTCATCCCCTTTTCCAGAGGTCAGAGCTGCCTCATTGCAGTTGCCACTTCACAAATCTTCTTCTTTGCTGCTGGTATAGCCAAGCTGAGGTGGATGGTGCATTTGCACCATGTTTGGGCAGAGCCTGTCACACTCACAGGGCACCTGTGCCCTGGGATATCTATCTAGAGCTAGGAGTGTGTTTTCAGGAATATCTCAGCTTCTTGCTTCTCACACCAACCCTGATACAAAGCCTGAACAGCATAACTCACCAACTGCCTTTGGACACTGGCTCTTGAATGGCCTCAGCAGACCTCGTCAGCTGGGCAGGTAATACCTGGTTAATCCACATTTATTATCCACATCTTCAGTGGATCTATATGTAACTTAAGGGAAACTGGGCATTTATACATATTTATTAAAAAGTTACTAATCCATTCTCTAGTCTCCTGGTCCAGTGGGATGTTTCATTTCAGAGGGCTGTTGCTTGACCTGGCAGCTTGAGTAAAAAATCTGAGCCACCTCATGTGTCAAGAGCAGTGATACAGGTATGGAGCTTCTGTGACAGACTGGCCTATAAAAGCCCTTAACTTGAGCATCCCATCTCATGGCACTGTCTCTGCTGTAGTTTTTAAGGCCCTTGCTCATATGCTTATTTTAAACATTATTTTATTTCAGAAATCCAGTGCATATTGTCACTATGGGTAAAAATTTTAAAGGATCTATTCACAGCCTTTCCAACTGTGAAGCTTTTTATACAGGTTATGACTAAAACCATAAGGAAGAAGAAGCATCCAGTATTTTTTCACAGGGGAAAAAAAAAGCCAAATTTCTCCAAGGATAAAGAAGTGTTGTTAAGGATGCTTGCATATAGCTGTAAAGAACACTGCATGATGCTCCATAGGTAACATCAGTAACTATGATACTCATAGTAACAAGCCAGAATTACTGTGCTGAGTTTTTGTGAGGAGTTATGGCACAGATTAAGTAACCTTGATCAAAGAGCTCAAAAAAATTCAGCAAATTAATTTGTAATTTTGCCACAGATGGAAACGCACTCCAGGAGAGGCAATCTGTCACTCCATATGCACCAGTGAAATCCATGTTATCAGCTCACCCAGGCTGGGACAGGAGCATTTATGCAAGTCCTTGGGTGGGAGCCATCCAGTAAGGTCAGCAGTGAAGAGGCAGAAAGAATTTTGCTGCTCTTCTTAAGTATTCAAATATTACCTGGAGGGGAAAAATAAATCAAAGTATCTCCTTTTGTCTACCAAGCACAGAGAGGGGCTGCACACAACGCAGTCCATTGTGGCTGAGGGTGTCTGGGTCATTTCCAGCAGAGGTCCCAAAGGGCAAGGAAGGGCTGGGTGACACTGTCCCAACCCAGGCTGGGCTAGCAGAGTCACAAGGAATCCTTCCAGCAGGGACAGGCAGCACAGGCAGCACCCTGGGGCACCCAGCAGGGCAGAGAGAGCTTCAGCCCTGAGCAGAGCTCCAGGCTCCAGCCCTCGGAGATGGCACATGGGAAATGATCCTTTCACTGCTGAAGTACTGGCTTAAACATCACAGCATTTTCCAGCACAGCTCTTCTCACCCCTCTGAACTGATAACCCCCAGCTGGGCTCAGACACAGAGCCTGTACAGCTTTCACCTATGCTCTTGGGCTTCATGCAACAGCAGTGAGGAGGTGGCACCCTAAAAAATCAGGGTAGGTATCTCCAGGAAGATTTTGGGGTATCTTTGTGTCTCTTTCTTTTGCATTATTTTTTTCCTATGCTTCTGAAGCACATTCCTGAATTAAACTGGTGTATCCAGAAGGTACAGATTATCAGATAATATTGATGGAAGACAGTTTTTTGCACTGTGTATGTTGCTTGTGTGGTATATAGTCTGTATTCTGTGTTGGTGTTTATAAATTTATATAAAACTATATATCAGGCACCTCTACTGAATTAACTCACTGTTTAATGTGGACTCTTCTGAAGAAATAAACTAAATGATGATTGTATATTTTGCTCTTTTCCACAAAGAACTGAAAAAGTTCCAAGGATACAAACAGACAACAGCCAAATAAACTGAATGAACACAAAGAACAGTGAAGTCTGACACCAATTCCTTTGTTAATGTTGTGTTAACTCGCTCATCAATGAGCTCTTTGCATCATCTGCACCCAACTGCATCCACTGTTTATCCCCAGATATCATCTCAATTTGATGAAAGTATAAAGGCACACAAATTGTGACTCAGGCTTTGTGCACTGAAATTCCAATCTGAGTCCTAACTGACTGGGGATGCCCACCTGCCTGGCAGGGTAAAATCCACACAAAGTCAAGGAAATACATTCTTGGATTTAATTTTAAAACACACTTTTTAACTGACAAGTAATCCTCACACTAGTGAGCCTATTTAATTATTTTAGAACATTTTTAAAGTTGCTTTAGCAGCAACCAAAGGCCACAGATTTAGGAAATAAGAAAAATACATGATGCTTCACACATGCAGGTCACACACACCATGGTTCCTGAGAGTCAGGACTAAAACACAGCAAAGTAAATGAAAAGGACTTCTCTGTCTCATTAGCAACATCCTTATCAGCACAGATGCCAGCATCCCACTCAGAACAAGGCAGAGGTGGTGCTTGGATGCATTTCTCAGACACCAGGTATCTGCTGGGGATGCCACACTGGGAGGTGTTCCCTGTGGCACTGGTGTGGCCAGCCAGCTCCTCACTGGGGGTGAGATCCCGTTCTCTAAACCTGTTCTTCAGGTCAGGTTTACAAACCATCTTCCCACCTCTTTGATGCTGACAATAACAGCTCCCTTGCTACCCTACCATGGCAGGTTGTGTACTTCATTTCCTGGCATAAACCTTTCAAAGCAACAAATCTTCTCTAGGCCTTTGGTGAGATGTGAGACCAGGGCACTCATGCAGGACCTTGTAAAATGCTTTATCAACCTTTCCCAGCACCAAGCAGTGAGGTTTCAATGGGCTGTGCCCCAAAACTCCTGACAGTGATCACACACCTCCCTCCATGCATGGATGCCAATGGAAGTTGTTTATTGTGACAGTTCCTCTTCTGTGGAAGAGAGTAAGAACCAATCACTTCTGCTCTTTAAAGATAAAAACCTTTTAGCTATGCTCAAACTGCTCCATTGCCTGGGATTTCTCTTACTGCCAGAGTTTTCAATACCAGCTTTGCTCTTTATCCAGGTCATGCTGAGATCTCTTCTCCTATGCACTCACTCCTGAAGTGCTCCTAGATAATTTGCTGCATTGAAATTTCCTGTCAAGGAACACTTACATTTTACTGCCTGATTTACTCCTCATGACTGCCTCAGAAATGGCAGGTTCTGGTTTTATTCCTCAAGCTAGTGGTACCCTCAGACTGGCCCTGGCTGAATACCCCTTCCCAGGAATTCTCCTCTGCCTATCCTAGGTATTTCTCCATACTTAGATCATTTTCCAAAATTATCTAAAACTCCCACTTCATCAACTTTGTGTTGATGAAAGCATTATATGAAATCTTGAATTGGTCATGATACTGCTGAGATCCAGCCTAATGAATATGGGAAAAAATGCAAAATTATCATCAACATAACAATGACAGAGTGTTCCAACACACCATGACCAGGTGCTCTTGTGGGTTTTGTTGGTTCTCATCACAGCCCATGAGATTTCTGGGCATCCACTGGCACTTGGTGCCGAGCTGGGTGTGCAGCTCTGGTGGCTCTCCAGCTCAGACCTCACTAACACAGACTGGCATTGACCTGCTCAGGCAGCACCTCAGCCTGCCCAAATGTAAACCTGCATGAACATCAGGTTGCAAAGAGATTCAGGGACAGGCTTCTTCCAATCTGCCATCCCTCACCCTCCCTTCAGGAGATCCAGACCCACTCGCTGAATTACAAACAGCAGCCAAGAAGCACAAGGCCAAGCACTTCTGACTCCAGCAGAAGGAAATGTAAGAACAAATGGAAAAATCCCACAGAGCACTTCAGAAGGATGTACTGCCTCCCAACCACTCATGACCCTGAGTCACTGTGGGATGTGATACTGTGCAGTACAGACCAGAAAATGGCACATCCACAGGACACCCTGTCACTCTGGGAGTGGGATGGAGCCATGTGGCATCTTTAATCCACCACAGTGATCCCGAACACACCGTCCTCTGCCCGTGAGCCACTCACTGCATTGCAGCTGGCTGCTCCCATTGACTGCTGCTGGGCTCGGTTCAACAAACTCAGCTCCAGGCTTAAAATTATCGTTACCCAAAACTACATCCCATGCCCCAACATTTGCTTAACTTCCCGTGTTAAAGCAAGCTTTCTGCAATGTGAACCACAAGCATTCCACCTCGTTCCCTGACGAAGCAGTTTCCAGCGTGGGTCCACACCGGCAGCAGGGCCCATCGATGAGCCTGGGCACGGGGATTGATCCTCTGCTGGATTCCTCTCCCGTCAGGCTCACCCAGCTGCAGCCAGGGTCAGCGGGTGTGAGGGATGTGAGCTCCCATCGCCTGCCCGGCAGTCCCGGCAGGGACAGGCTCAGGACGGCCGGAGGTGAGGGAGCACATCCCCGTGTCGGGCTCCCTCGGGCACACAGCCCAGCAGCCCGGCCCTGCACCCCGACTGCGGGAAGGGCTGAGGGCAGTGCCGTGACACAGCTGGGCAAACGCTGACAGCACGGCAAACCCCCAGCGAGGAGCAGCGCCAGCCCCAAGCGTGCTGCTCTCCACCCGGAGCAGGCTACCAAAACAATAAACCAAAATTAAAAACACCGGGAGAAGGGCAGGGTGGCGGAGCTGGAAGTGCAGTCTCCAAGGCGCCAGTGCCCTTAGCGGGATCAGAACAGCCCCGTTAGGAAGCGCAGAGCCCAGAGCGCCGGGGGCTGTGGGATTGTCCTGCCTGCAGAGGTCAGCGCTCCCCGGAACAGCCGCGGCGCCGGCTCCGGGGACAAGGTCCCCGCACAGGGCCCGGCAGCCGCGGCCCAGGCAGGAGGCAGCAGCCGGACGGCCCCGCGGAGGACGCCTGGGACGAGGTACGTGGGGGACTGCGTTTGCACGGAGAGAAAGGAATCGCGTTTTCCTGCCGCAGCCTCACGGAACAGGAAGCGGAGGCCGAGGCGTGCCCGGCCCCCAGCCCCGCGCTCCCGTGAGGGCTCAAGGGCAGCGCCGCGTTACCCCGGCCGTGTGTGCCCAGCGCTGCCCCGAGGCTTTTCTCTCTGCCGCCAGACACCTTGGGCTAAAGGCCTGAATAGCAGAAAAAGCAGGAATTAATAACACATTAGCAGTGGTTTCCAGAGTTTGTATTTCTTAAAGTAATACGATGCTTGTAAAGGCAGCAGCCTCTTCAAGGGAAAAATCTGATTTATTTTCTACTCACCACAGCTTTGTTTTTACTAGTGTCCTGCAACCATTCTCACTAACATGGGGTTAGGGGTTAATGTAAAGCTGAGCCCCAAGGAATGAGGAAGCACAGGCAGAGCCACCAGTGCCTGTGAGTCCTGGGCCAGAAACTCCCATAAACATTAACACATAGCCGTGGGATATTGCAGCATTAACTTCTCATAGAATACTGGGAACTGACTGGGAAAAGAAAAAAATTTTATTTTAAAATATGTCATAAAACCTGCAGTTTGATTTCCTTGAAGTGCCATAAATCTGCACTGCCCATTGCAACGAGGACAGGGTAGTGCCTAAATATTCACGCAACCCTTGTGCAGGTACATCTTGGCCAACCTACCAAAGCCACCCTCGCTGTGCCAACGCCTCCATCAGGCATCCACTGACGGGTGCCAGTGCCAGAGGAGCCCCGTCCCTCTGCAGAGCAGGCTCCAGGATGGCTCTGCTGGAGACCAGCAAGCACTGTCAGGGCTCAGTGCTCGGCAGCGTGAACCCCGACCTGGCCGGCGAGCGGCAGACAGCCTCCTTCTGCGTGGAGAAGCTCACAGCCCTGCTGGATGGTGGCGCAGAGCAGACACGGATACGGAGGGCAGTGGGTGAGTGACCCTTAGACAAGGCCCTGCTGGGGGCTGGGGGCCATGCCTGTGTCCTGCTGCTCTGCTGCTCCTTTGCAGCACAGTGGGGTTTGTGCTGCTGGGCATTTGCTTATCCCCCATCTCTTTAAAAAGTGGGAGTGTGAAGCTGGAGTCTTCTCTTCATGTAAATCAGTACGACTCCTCCGCAGCCACTCCTGCTGTCTGAAGCTTTTCCTCCTCCCTGCTCCCATCCCCTGTCTCTGGCAAGACTGGTTAAACTGGAATACAAGAACTGAGGGTCGAGCATCCATGTGTGAGGGAAATGCGTGCAGGGGCTGGTGCTGCTGTGCAGAAATGCACATCACGTGTGAACCACAGCCAGCTTTCCTCCTTGCCACGTCGGGCTCATCCAGGTGGGAATTTCTTGCGTGGGTTGGCTCAGCCAGGCTGAGCTGCTCTCACTCGTGATGGGTGTGCCAAGAAATGACTGTTGCTCAGAAGAAATAGAGGAAAAAGCTCTCACTGTTGTCTCTGTAACTGCATCCATATTATACACCTACCAAAGGAAAACACCACAGCCACTGGGATTGCCCTCTTCACAGTGCCACTGGAGTTCAGTGTAACCTTCCACATGAATAGACTCAAGGTTTTAAGGCAAAATGGACAAGGAGAGTGTTCAAACTGACACAGAAACAGTGACTCTGAGTTGCTGTGTAACAGTGCAATGGGCTGGTAACATCCCGAGCAGGACACCCAGCAGGCTCCAGCCATAATCCACCCTCTGGCTAATGCAACTCACCACAGCCTGGGCAAAATGCAGCTCACCACAGCCCTTACTGCCCTCACAGCTGTTGGAGGCAGAGGGATCCTTGGCATTTCTGCCAGAAGTCACCTCTCCCACCCTGACCAGGGAGGGTTCCTTACCCTGCAGGGTCACCATTTCCACTGAACAGACCCCTCTCTCAGACCCACTCAGTTCCAATTCTGCTTCCCCAAACCCCAGACTGCTTTTCAAAGTTAGATGTGACAGCCATGGGAGCCAGAACTGGCAAAACAAAACCTGCCTGCAAGCGCCCTAAAAATCACAGCATCAGTATATCCAT